ACGCCGCGGAACCACACGATGGGGAGGGGCTGGCCGGGCGGGGCCTCGAGGTCATTCACACAATTCCCCACGGAAATCCCAGCTCATCTCCCCCCAGGAGGGGCATCTCTCCAGAGAACCTAGAGTGTATGGGGAAAGACGCTGTGGCCGGTGCCATCTCTCTAATGACAAATATTCACCCTGAAAGCCCCAAATGCTCATAAATGTAAAAAAAAATCAGGGTGTTTGGTGCTCTGAGGACGGAGCCTACAGGTTTCACGGCCCCTTTTGGCTTTCCTCGGGCCCCCGACACCAGCTAAGTCTCTCTCTTCCCAGCCCAGATTAATTTCCAAGGGCTTAGTTCCAAGGAACGACGGGAATGTTTCAGCATGAGTGCTCCTGACCACAAGGAAAAAAGCCCCCAACACAGTTCACAGACATCAGCCAGGATTCTGCAAAGTCCATTCTTTCAAGAACAAAATTGCATTTTATGAAGCTGTCCCTTTTCTGTTTCATCTGTCAGGCAGGTTTGCCAAGAATAATTTAAATTTCATGCAGCGGCAACTGCGGGGCGGCAGGGTTTCCCTTCCACCCGGCAAACAGGCCCGGCCTCGGGGCTTCGTTTCTGCTTCTCGGGGCCACCCTCCTCCTGGGGGCCTGACGGCCTGCAGCCCAGAGCGGCCATGGTGGGCCAGGCACAGGGCTGTCCCCGCTCTCGGCGTCCTCATGCCTCTCCAGTCAGGGGAGGGCCCCCACCAGCGCCAACCTCCAGGGGGCCGGTTTCACCCCGCGGGTCTGGACACTTGGTCCGACCCGATCTCTGAGGCAGCTTTTAAAATTAACTTTTATTTAGTGCTTTATGGGTAGCAGGTGCTGTTCTAAGCTTTCCCACACATCCGAATTTAACCAATCCCCACAACGTCTTCACGAGGAAGATGCTATTCTTACTCCCATTTTAGAGACAATGAGACTCAGAGACGTAGTCAGCTCCTAAGAGGCAGAGGTGGGATTCAAACCCGGTTCTGTCTGATGTGACAGCCTGAAGCTCTCACTAGCTCTGCAGTGTAGAGTTGGCAGAACCTTTGGGCTACATTTCCCCTCCTCACCCAAGGGGTAAATCTGCCCATTTTTTTGCAGACTGGGCTTTGCTGTCAGGTAGGTGGTTGAAGGGCTGGAGAAGTTACGGTCACAATGCTGCACTAACGGTTACCATGGAGAGCGCACTGTGCCAGGCAGCCTGCAGCAAGCAAAGGAGCCAGCCCAGGCGGTCTGCTTCTCACTCATCAGGGGCCCTCGGCAAGCCTCATTTCCTCTGGGCCTCAGCTTCTAACCGGCAAAACAGAGCGGCCGGAGGGCACGGTCCCTCTGCTCCTCTCAGGCTCTGGGGACTTGTGTGTGTGTGAGTGTGTATGAGTGAGTGTGTGGGTGCGCGTGTGCATGTGTATGAGTGAATGCATGGGCGCGTGTGTGTGAGTGTGTGTGTGTGTGTGTATGTGTTGCATTTGGTCACACACTCCCCCTGCCTCAGTGGCCCAGGAATCTGTGCTTTGTCCAACTGGACTTTCATCAAAGACCAGCAAGAAATCCTCAGGCCACAGAAAAATGAAGAAACATAAAAATCAACAGAGGCCTAAGGCAGCAGCGACAGAAAGAATTGTCATCACCTCGCTCACCAGCCACAGGGAGCCTGGTCAAGCCTTCCCTACCCTGGGGAGCTGGGACCGTCCCCCACGGCATGGCAGAAGCAGCCCCCGTACTGAGGGTGAGCTGGTGGCCAGGCTCATGGGACTCGGGGCAGGAGAGGGGCAGGCTGTCTCTGCATGGGTGGTGATGGCATAGGATGCCAGTGGTCGCCCCCAGCCCCCAGAGACCTGTGACACCCCGCTCCATGCCCAGCCCAGGGGGTCGCTAAGGCCTGACAGCACTAACACTTGTCCCTGAGAGTCACCTTGGGGACCTTTGCCCGAGTTCTCAGGCGTGACTGGCCCACATGTGGCACCAGACCCTTCACTGAGGAAGGCAGGCCGGTGTGTTCAAGCCCCCACTGGCACACTCCAGGGTAGCAGGGACACATGGCTCTGTTCCTGGCTCCCATGCAGGCCCCTCCCTCAACCCCCTCCCACCAGAGTGGGGTCTCAGCCCTGTATACACACTGCACTTTCCTGGAAGGAAGGGGTCTGGTGGCTAAAAAAGCTTTAAAATCCCCTCACTCCATCATCAGGCTCACTAGGTGATGTGGACTCTTGGTCATCACTGGATGCCCTCCCTCTAGCTCCCCTTGCTGCCATTATGTCACCTTGGTCATGTCACGCTTCCATGTCACAGACGTGAGCTCTAACCACTCAGAAACACAATTTGCTTTCCCCACCTGCTTGGGGCCTAGCTCCTGTTTCTCATCGAAAGACTTACCTTTTTCTCTTGGTGAGGTTAGAAATGATCCTTCTCCGAAGGGGCATGCCCTTGTCCCCTAGGCTTCTCCTGGGTGACAGTGACATGGCAGGGGTGATAACTACCATGTGCCAGGCTTGGCTCTGTTCTGAGCACTACATATATGTTTGAACTCACACAATTCTCACAACAACTCTGGGAGGCAGGTGCTACTACCTATTCCCATTTTGCAGAAGCGAGGCCCAGAGAGGTTAGGTTAACTTGTCCAGGGCTGCTCAGCTAGTAAGAGATAGGGCAGAAGCCAAACCCAGGCAGGCTGGCCCCACAGTCTGTCTTCATCCACAACACTAACGTGCCTCTGCCAATAACCTCAACGGCAGAGACATTCTCAGGTCATTTGGTCACACTGTCCAGGTCACAGACCTGTTATATCCTGACCTGTGTGTTCCCCGAGGGCCAGAGCTAGGCCTTGGCTACTCAGTTGACCAGGGAAATCACAGATACCTCGGTTTGGGCCTGCCTGTCAATTGAGGTGGTGCGGGCATGGGGTTAGACAAATAGGCTGCGGGACAGGCGTCTGGCGGGGGCCGCCGCTTGGCCAGATGACAGAGAGGCACCACGGCCCAAATTCAATGACAGTGTTCTGGACAGAAGCTGCTGCTGGCTATTCTCCTTCTCCCCTGCACACCCCGTTCTCCTGAGCATCTCAAAAAATCCAGGGTGGAAGCAGCCATCTTTGTTTGATCAGACCAGCTCCTGCAGGTCTGGAGCTGGGCTGGAGATGGTTACAGAGGGGACACGTGCCAAGGAGCTGGCTGTCCCACAGGCATGAACTTTCGCCCCCTCTCCCCTCCCCAGCCCCCCAGGGCAGTCCTCCCCACGCTGTTTTCTATCATAGGCTGGGCTCCTTTCCCCCCATGTGCTGTGGTTTGGGGCTCCGCCAGTGAGGGATACTGAATATCAAGCTGCTTGGGAGCAAAGCAGGAGCTGTGTGGGCAGGACAGCCCTGTGTGAGGGGCCCTGACTGCCAAGTGCCCTCTAGCACCCCAGCCTAGAGGGCCAAACCCCTGCCCCAGGTGCAGCCCCACAGCACCCCTAAAAAGGCCTCCACCCAGAGAGGGCCGAAGTCATCAAGTGGGCTCCCAGGTTCAGTTTCTCTCTCTGCTGACCTGGAGCCCCCAGTGGTCAGCTCCAGAAGCTGCCATTGTCCAGATGGCCAACAGCTGGCCTTACTGAGCGGCTGCCAGATGTGGCTGGTGGGGCAGCCGGCTGGCTCCACCAGGCAGAGGTCACTGCATCGGCACCCAGGGGAGAAATGCGATTGGCTGGGCTGGGGGCATCGTGCCCAAATAACCTTGCATCTCCTCTCCCCCATCCGACATTCCTTCCCTCCCCACCTCAGTGGGGAGGTGTTTTCATAACAGGAAAATAAAATCAATAAGGCACTGCAGCAAGATGTCAGCGTGCTCCGAGCTGGCCTCCAATAGTTCCATTGTCTCGGGCCTCCGCTGGGCTCTGGGCCGGCAGCGCTCAGTTATTAATGGGAAGCAGGGCTGAAAGGGAGTTTTGAAAATCACGGAGACAAAGGCTCAGCACACCTGGAGCGTGGCTTTCCCACACCATGGCCACCTCACAATGGCCTCAACGGGCCTCCCCCGCCTTTAACTTCTCCCACAACTTTTATGAAAGCAGGGAAGAAAACACTAGACACACACACACACACACACACACACACACACACACAGATGCACGCACGCGCACGCACACGCTGGCTCGGAGAGGGCTCCTGGAGGCCGCTCTGAATGGCTGGAAGAGGCAAAGGTGGCCTGCAGAGCCCCTGCTCGGCCAAGGAAACAGGATGGTCATAAACAGGGCTTCCTGCCCCTGGCGTGGGCCCATCCCTGAGGGTCTCTGAGCGGCGCGAGGCGGACCAGTTCAGCCTGAAGCCAGGCAAGAGCCTTGGTGCCATTTTCATTTCAGTCTCTCTGTTAGGAACACAGCCTGGTTTCTGCTGTCATTCCCAAGGCTGGAGCCGCCTCCGGAAAAGAGCAATTGCCCCGAAGCGGACTGCTGGGGCCCAAGTCCTGTGTCCCCAAGGAAGGTCCAGCCTTGGACCAGCTCTCACAGACTTGGTGTGTCTCAGTATCCCCAGCTGACAGGTGGGGGACAAAAGTACTGATTCATGCAGTTGGATGAGGCTGGGAAGAATTCTCAGCAGAGTAGTTAATAAGTAGTAGATTTATGACCATTTATGCCTTACTGCTGGTCACTATCTTCTTGCAAACCCAAGTCACTGGCGCCCGAGGAGGACTTGCATGGTCTAAAGTCACCTATTTAGGGAATCTTTATGGCCAACTTGGAGTTTGCCGTCCCTACACACATTTAATCAACATGGCCTAGGCCGACAGGTAGCTTCAGACCTGCTTATCTTACAAGGTAGTCGCAGACAAGACAGACTTGACAGCAAATGAAACCATGTGACCCTTCAAAGGTTGGCCAGCCCAGCTCCAGGGAGTACTCTGGGGAACAGGGTGGCCAGGGCCCAGGCTGTGAGCCCGCGGAGCCGGCCCGGGCCTTCAGGGGAACAGGGGCCCCGGCGCCCAGCTCCAGCTCAGAGAGGCCACCAGGCTTACCTTGGTGGTGACGGTGGAGGCCGAGCTGGCCACGAGGCTGGTGATGGCCTCGCCACTGCCCGTAGTGCAGGGAGCCGGGGCCGTGGCTGGCGTGGGCAGCCGGGAGGGCACCCCAGGCAGCGGCAGGAGGCCGGGCCGGGCACTGAGGCTGCTGGCCGTGCCGCCACCGGCCCCAGCTGTGGCATTGCAGATGCTGGTGGTCCCATGCGTCCCGTTGGCACTCCACTCACGGCGGTCCCAGCCCACCCGGTAATCTCTTTCGAAGCGGCTGTGGTGCCGGGACATCTTGCTGGGCCGTGGTTGCTCCTCACAGGGAAACCGAGGCCGGACCTGCTGGCACAGAGTGGAGAGGAGGCGATTTAGACCAACAGCAGCCCTGCTAGGAGGCCAGGAGGGCAGCAACGCCCGTCAGCATCTAGTAAGCACCTTCTCTGGGTGCAAAAAAGGGCTTTCAATAGCTGATAGCTGATCTCATATTCACGGCAAGCTCACAATGCGTGGATCATTAGCCCCACGTCATGGGGGCGGGGGATAAATGGTTTGTCTGGGATCATGTGGCAAAAGTGTAGTAGACAAGATTTGAACCCAGTGTCAGTTGAAGAGTAACGCTTTCTGTTCTGCAGCGCCACACTGCCCTGAAGGATGCGCGTGTGCTCGTAGGAACTGCGGTTGGGATTTCATCCCACCATCCCCACCGTGGAAACAAGATCCTGGGAACTCCTCAACACTGTGATGGGGAGAACAGCTACATCTCTAGCCTCCCTTCCTAGTGGACAAGGCCTTTTTACGTAAACCTCATTGTATCCTTCTAGTAGCCCATGAGCTGGCCAGGCATTGCTCATCCCAGTTTATGGACCAAGTTGCTGGTTGAGAGTAAGTGACTTCCCTGAGGTCAGAGATGTAGGAAGGGAGAAGGCGGCCAGAATCTCTCACCTTCAGACTGTAGCCCAACGTAGGACTCCAGGCTGAGAAGGTGTTAAGCCCCTGGGCGTTAAAAGTTCTTTATAACCCTATGATTTAGTTGCCGGCACAAGAGACCCCCGTGCTCCCTGCGAACCGGACATCTCCCATGCGACTTTCCTGAGTATCCGAACGTAAGGCCCTCAGGGTTGTCATGGAGACCTAGACACGCCAGGATACTGAGGGCCCCCTGCATCACAAGGATTGGGATTTGCTCAGCATTACAGAGACTCCCCCAGCTTCTTACATAGCCTGGGTCTGATGTCACCCTTAGTTATGAAGGACGTAAAGATACAGGAGAGGCTGACTTGGCCGGAGAGGCAGAGGGGAGAGGGATGGTAGAGCCCGAACACAGTGGGCAGGTTGGAGAGGGGTCTGTCCTGCACATCACATCCTCAGCTCCGGCCACTGCTCAGGCTCGGTTTTCTTTGACTCTTTTCCACTCTGCCACCACTTCCTGTCTGGGGTGTGAGCTCCTGGAGGTCTGGGGTAGCTCCTGGCTCATTTCCCTAGCCTGCAAATCCAGCTGTCATGGAGGCGGGCTCTGGAATTACTGGCTAGTGGGTGGACAGGCCACCTATTTTAAAAATTTCTATCAATCCTGATCCTACTCTGGTTTTTGCACACCAGATCTAGTTGTCGACTTCTAGCGCCACTGAGCCAAGCTTGGGCCTCACCCTCATGACCTGCTGCCTGCGTCCTACTTGTGTGGTTGGCGGGTCCTGGCAGTCACCGTCCCCTCCCTTGGCACCGCTCCTGCCACCAGGCACAAGGAGCACGCCGAAGCAGAGCTGACCGTGGCCTCTTAAAGTGGATGGGGGTGCTCCTTGTTTATCATTATGCTTCACGGCTTACACGATGGCACAACATTATTTTTTCATCTACTCAATATTACATAGTAAAAAATAAAAACGAATTCCCCTTTGGCCACCCCCTCACAGACTTCTCTTGAGAGAGTTGTTTAAATAGCTCTCGTCACTTTTCTCCCTCCCGCCCAGGCTGCAACTTGCTCTGATGTGGCTTTTGCTCTGCTCTCGCCACTCCTTGGGAGTTGGTCTCACCGAGGTCACGAATGATCTGCTTGTAAAATCCCATGGGACACTCAAGCCTTGTCTTCTCTCACATTTGGCATGGTTGATCTCTCTCTCTCTCTCTCTCTCTGAGATTTCTGAGATACCACGCTCTCTGAGATGATCTCTCTCAGAGATTTCTGAGATACCATGCTCTCTCCTCGTTTTGTTCTCCTTGGTAAGCAACTTTTCCTCAGCTCATCCTTAGGGATCTATTATTTCCTCCTACGCACTCTCCTTGGACAATCTCATCAGCTGTCACCTCTTTCCCTGATGGCTCTCAAGGCCACATGCTAGCTCCTTGTCCATCCTAAGCTCCACACCCCCTGTCCTACCATCTGAAATACTGGCTGCCCCACAGGTACCTCAATACTGGATGGCCCAGAATTAACTCATTGTTCTTTTGCCTACTCATTCTCAGGAATCCCCTCTAGCAGACAGGAAGTCCTGTCTGCTCTGCAAGCCCATTTCCCCGTCTCCATTCATATATTCAACAGTGCGGTCTTTGATTCTGTCGCCCCAGCTGCTTCCCTAATCTGCCCCTCTCCCTCTGCACATCCACCACCCCAACTCATTGTGTCCCACATAGATTATTTCCACGTCTCCTTGCTCCAGTCTTGCCCTTTTTACCCATTTTCTACCCAACAGCCCTTGTGACTTTTTTATTTTTTAAAGATTTATTTACTTGAGAGACAGAGAAAGAGAGAAAGAGTGTGCACTGGCGGGGGTGGGAGGAGAGGGAGAGGGAGAGAGAGTCTCAAGCTGACTCCATGCTGAGCATGGAACCTGATGCGGGGCTCGATCTCACGACCCTGAGATAATAACCTGAACCGAAACAAAGAGTTATATGCTTAACCGACAGCACACCCCAGGTGCCCCCCACCTTGTGATTTTTTTTGAAAGCACAAATCTGATCACCATACTTTGCTCTCCTGCTTTAAATCCTATCCTTCAGAATAGGGTCCAGACTTCTCAGCGTGACCCAGGAGACACCTGAGGATTCTAGCATCACCATTCACTCTTCACGCAATGCCCGGCCATCCCAAACACCTTACAGTTTCTGAAGGCATCGTGCCCTCTCTCAGCTTGGGGTTCAAGCCCCTGTTGCTACTTGGCCAGGAATGGATTCCCACTCTTTCCACGGCCAAGCCCTGCATGTCTGTTATGACTCAGCTCAGGCACTGACTCTTCTAGGAGGCTGCATGGACCCACCTCCTCTGGATCAGGCAAGAGGGCCCCCCCGCCACTATCCCCCTGGACACCTGGCCTCCACCACCCCATCCCAGCATCAGTGGCTGAGTATATTTGCTACCTTGAGAACAGTCCCTGGCTTATTGTCTTTGTGACCTTAGCACCTAACACAGTGTCCGGGATAGAAGGGTATTCAGTATACATTTGCTGAATGAATAAACAAATGTTTATTTCTTCTTAATTGCTGAATGTTTCCAGAAGAGACAAACATGTTTGTGTGAAGGAGGAAGCTCAGACACAAAAATCTTGAGTCTTCCACCTGGAAATTCTGTGTAGGTACCAGGGTAAGGAAATGTCTTATCTTCCCGGTAGGTCAGACCTGGAGCCTCCAAGGATGGCTCCGAAGGAGAACAGAATCTCTGCATGTCCAGGGTTAGCCGGACCCCACAGCTTAGGCTCCCGTTTCCCAAGATTCACCTGCAAGGCTCTTCCTCATGATTAGCACCTCAGGGCCGTTTCCCTAGGTTGGATCCTAAGTATGGCAGAGATGATGTCACAAAGTTCACCACACTGTGACCTCTCTCCAACCACCCAGGAAGACCTCCCCGCCGCCTCCCTTGCACTTAGGTTGGGAATCACACATCTGAATTCAGGCAGCTAGAACGAGTGGGGAGGAGATGGAGAACATTCCCAGATCTGGCCCGTTAAGAGCATCTTCTATTAACTTTAGCTCGCTTCACCTGCCATGGTAACCTTGGAGGTGCAAGAGGGTTGCCCCACCAGCGTTGGACTTGGCACAATTGGGACATAAATCTTCATCGTGTTAAGGCACTGAGATTGCGAGGTTATTTGTTACTGAAGCCTGGCCCAGCCCACCTGATAACCTCAGTCAGCACTTATATTCCCACAAAACAACCCAACTTCACATATCGTCAAGGAAATCATCTCCTTCCAGCTGGTGAAGATAGAGATGAGAAGGGCAGACTTGTTGAGATGTGCCCATGGGTGGGCACAGCATGCTTGAGAGCAGGTCAACGGGGCCTCCTTTACCCCAAGGACGCCTCCCATGGCCGTAGAGCCCGTCAGCTCGCTGCCTCAGGGACCACCTGCTGCAGCACAATGTGACTCCATGGCACCCACGGTCCCAGCAGCCCGAAACTCCTGCCCCCCGCCCCCGGCCCCGCTGCTCATCTCTTCAAGGCTCCGTACCACGCTAGCTAGGAGCTGGAGGGGACTCAGGCAGCCTGGAGGCCACACAGTCTGGTCTGAGCCTCTTTAAGTGTATTCAAAACAAAGGTCAACACTTTGCATGCCAGGTTTGGGTTCGCCTTCATTCCTCAATTTAATTCCCCCTTTCAAACGGAATGAAAGAAATGTGTTGCACAGTTTACCTGGGGTGTGGCAACTTCAGTATTTCCTGCTGGGCACGGAGCCAGTGTGTCTGAAAGGTCCCGTGTGCCCACATGTGCGCCCGGGGTGGTGGCGGGGAGGCAGCAGGAAGGGCTCGTCGGGGCGGGAGGAGGCCCCACGTGGACAGGGTGCCTCAGACAAGACTGGTCAAGCAATTACAGACAAAACACACAGATGTGCTTCCTTGTCGGGGTGAGCACCTCTTCCTGGCAGGCTGCTGGCGAGCCGGCAGAGCCTGGCACAGGGCCCTTCACTGAGGGACGGAGGGGAGTCTGGGCAGGAGACATTCCTCTGAATGTTGGGTGTACTTCTAGCTCCGGTCCCGAACCTTCGCCCACCACCTGTCTCTAGATGCCTGAGCTCCATGTCACTCCCCTTTCTGTGCTCCTGATTCCCAGATCTGAATCATGCCCGGCCTGTACTCTGAACCACAGCTTCCCTTTTTTCGGTTTTGCACACCCTCTGAAAAGGAGCCGTCTCCTGCTTAGAAGAAACTGTCTAAGAATTTGATCCAAAGTTTTAGGTGTTGTTTATTTTGTTTTTACATTTTCTAAAACATGCTTGGATTACCTCTAGAATGATAGAAAAGGTAATGTGAAATGAATATCTTTTTCGTCGGTACTTTGGAGTCCTATAAGAAATAGTCTGGGGCTATGGAGCCTACCCTATGTATCCTTCCCTGCCAGGAAATAGGGGCTC